CTTTACTGGAACATGTTTAACAGGACAAACTAAATAAACGACAAATAGACCAACATCAACATGATGTTGGTTTATTTTTTGTTATTTGTAAAGTGCCTGCCATTGCCTTTTTTTGGAGATGCGCTATGCTCTGTAACCTCTTTGGCGTGCTTCGCACTCAAATGCGAACGCATTGTTGAGGTTGAGCTGTGATAGACCAACGTCTTTTCGCAGAGCTTGCATTTAACTTCCTTTGGACTTGTAAGTTCGAAGTAGTTCCACGAGGAGGAACTCTTTTTACCTGCCGCTTTGTTCATCTTTAGTCGCACGTGTGAGGGAGAGGGGGGGGGGGGTGGGGGCGGGGGCGGTGTGTAGCGTGCTGCAGCAGCAGTCTGCTCTGCACGCAGGCTTCTCCAAGTTTACAGTAAAACAAACTAGTGGTGTGACCAATGGCCATTTACAATTATTAATACTATTACTATTATTAGCATTAGTCTATATTTTGGTTGAAACTAAGCCAGAAAAAATATATATAAATAAAGTCGATTTTTAAAAATAATATTCGATTATGGAGACTGTAACGAATATTCCAATAATCACTGGCATCCCTACTACTAATGACAGCTTAACCTTCTCTACATCGCCTCGTTCACACAATAAATCAACAATACAAATACAACTACAGATTAAATAAGCATTTCGTTCAAATGTGATTTAAAAGGCTCTCAGGTTTTACACCTCTTAAAATGTAGAGAGCATTTATTACAGAGTTTATGTCCAACAGCCTCACAGATCGTTGGCTACTGAGAGAAATGCAAAACACACCGCATGTAGCACGACACAAAGCTCCGCTGTGCATTTTCAAAACAAAAAATGCAGTAAAACTTTGTTTGCAGGCCCAAGTCTAACTCTCTGAGGTCTGAGCGCTTTGTTCACATGTTAGGCTCGCGCGGGCTTTTTCTGTAGAAATGCTATTAAAACATGAACCTTGGTGACCGTCAGGCTGGCCTGCGTGGTCCGCCCCAACAACAGCCTCTGATCATCAACAGACTTCATGCAAGGCTTCATCGGGTGCATAGATTAGATAATAATCTCCATCTCAATCCTAACGTCTACTTCCAGCATGGACACATGTTCATGAAATACATCCATTGTTTGTTTTATACGCTTCTTGAAAATCGCAAATTACAAATCGTGTGACGAAGGTGTGGCGCTGGGCTATATCAGGCAATGGAAAGTGAAAGTGAAGCTCCCTCCATTGCGGAGATATTCCTGCAAGAGGAACTTAAATGTATCGATTTATTTCAAATGTGAAATGACCAATATACTCAAGGACCACTAGGGGGCGCTCACGGACCACCAGTGGTCCGCGGACCACACTTTGAGAAACACTGAATAGATGGATACTTTATTCATCCTAATTTGGGAATGTATTTTGTTACAGGAGCAGTGTGTTCAACATTAAAATACAAATACTGTCTATACTAAAGTGTACACAGACAATGGATGTTGAACGTATGACTAATTGAAGCTCGTCTTACCGGGAGATAGTTGACGGGTATTTCATATTTGTACTCTTCTGCTTGAAGTTTGTAAACCAGCTTCATCATGGGCCCACTGAAACAGATCAAGAGAAGAGCGTTTGATTCCTTCTTTCAATCAATCAATCAATCAATCAATGTTTATCTCTATAGCCCAAGATCACCACTGTTACATGTGTCTCAGTGGACTTCACAGTTTGTACAGAGTATCAGTACGACCCCCTCTGTCCCCGGACCCTCACATCGGACAAGGAGAACCTTCCAAAGAAACCCCCATAGTTAATGGGGAGAAATGAATAAGGATCCCTCTCTCAGGACGGACAGACTGCAATAGATGGCGTGTGTAAATTGAAAAGATAAATCCTTTACAACAGAGGTAGTCCAGATGCCTGAAAATGCGTGTGTCTATAATAAGAAGATGAATCCAGGAGGATGTCAACACTCCTCAGGGAGCCATCAGAGAGCAACATCCCCCCAGCTGATCTCAGAGGGAAGGGGGTGTCCAGTACCAGGGGCTGAGGAACTCCAGAGCGATGTTGTACTCGTGGCTCCTGGCCTGCAGCAGCCTGAGGTTCCAGCCCCCGAGGATCCCGTCCAGACTGCCGAACACCGTCTCCACCAGCCAGGGGAAGATCCCATGCAGCTCCTGAGGGGAAGCACACGGATAGGATGCTCAGAAACTGGGAACGCACATATGAACTTGGGGATTGTCCATAGTATTGAGTGGAAGTAAGTTGCTTTGGGTAAAAGCATCTAAGAAGTGACATGTTATGGAATTTAGAGCAGGTTTAAGATTTTGGTTTTAGGATATTTTAACACCCTCTACACTCCAAGGGATGATGTTATCCACTCTCGCCCAAAAGAGTCCGTCCCATCGACGGCCATTAAAAAAAAATCTGAAACGCTGCGAAATTTCACAACATTTTAACTGTGATTTTAGGAAGAAACGTCCAATAAAGTTGAAACTCTGGAGAAACGATGAAACTTTGATAATTTACATATGAACATGTTATGATTTAACTATTTTTGTATTTAGAGCAGGTTTAAGATATATTTTCCAGGAGATTTTAAACACCCTCTACACTCTAGGTGATGATGTCATCCACTCTCGCCCCAAAAGAGTCCGTCCCATAGATGGCCATTAAAAACAAATCTAGTCCAATAACGTTGAAACTCTGGAGAAACGATTAAACTTTGATAATTGATCCTCCGTTAGAGTAAGCTCGGTCAGAAGGGAAACTCACGGATATGAAGCATCAGAAACTGGGAAAACCCATAGGATCAAGATTCAAGGCTTGCATAGCTACAGTTTAGACCAGGGGTCGGCAACCCCTGGCACGCGTGGGCACCGTAACCCAGTGGCACACTAGGAATAAGTGGAATAAGTGTGCAAAATATTTAAATTGTATTTTCGGATCCTGAACGAGACCGCCGCCAGAGCGCGTCTCCCCGTTACCTGCAGAAGGAAGCCATGCACGCAACGCAGCCCCGCTCTCTTTATCTCCAGGTGACTTTCTGCCGCTTTCCTTCGTGGTGCAGTGCTGGTCTTTTCAGCACGGAGGAAAGCACTGCTGCCCCGCCGGCACTTTACAAATTGCAGTACCCATAATGAGCTGTACACAAGAGAAACTTTTGGGGGGAAATGTTGAATTGCTTTCTCATCCGCATGCCAAAATACCTCTTTCACAGCAATTGGCAGATATGCGCGACCTGTTATTTACGGTAAATTGAATTACATCTCCCGCCTGCTAAAATTGTTTTAATCAGTGACGGAGCAGGCCCGGTAGACAATGGCAGGTCCGCTACCTAAGAAATCTAAAATAAATTTTCGGACATTCCAGCCCTCGTGGGAAGAAGAGTGG